TGCAAAATCAGCAATTCACATAACAGAACAAATCTGGCAGCTTTCCAGATTGCTTTTGAGAACACACGATTGAGCTAATAGATAGTGAGAATGTATTGTTTCCAATATTTTCAAAAGAATAAACACTGGCTATATCCATCAATCCTTTTCAAAAATTGATGATATGACATGTTTCATTTCTTTGTGATATTGAAGTACACTGCACGCAATAAAAGTGATCTATTAGTGACATATCATTTTCTCATTGATTTTACCTATCCATCTAATGTCTTTTTTGCACAGTGATTTCAAAAATTCAGCTTTATATAGATATCAGTCCATTCAACCAATCTCAAACCTCAAAAGAGTCACATGGTTGCAAATATCTAATTCATGCATTTTAAAGTATGACTTTCAGTTTTAGACACAAAGCTTTTAGCTTGGATATTGAAGTGCTAAATGTTAGATAAATAGACAAAAGCATGAGTAAGTAACTGATTAGCAATCCTAATGTTGCAAATTCAACTCAAAGCCACACAAGGAAGTAGCAGGACGGATGATCTAAAGCTTTGCTGAAGAATTACATTTTTAGAGGCTCATTACAGGAGAGAGAGATTTAGGGAGCACTTTCCAGTGCTGAGCATTGAGAGGACACTGCCTTCCACAGAGAAGGTTCAGAAAACTAATACCTGGAATAGTGTGGAAAGCTTGGCGAAAGAACCATAGCTGGCAGGAAGGTGTAATGAGGGTGTCAAAAGTTTTACATGGAATTGTACAATTAAGAATAAGGCTATTTAGGCCGATAATCCCTCTGTTGACTCTTTACAACAGTGATTGAATTAATCCCATTCTCATGGTCTTTTCTCAACTATATACTGATCCTTTTTAGAAAACAGCCTTTTAGGCAGTGCATTCCAGATCATAAACTGTTAAAAAGAAATTCGCCCAATCTTCCCACTGGTTCTTTAGTCAACTATCTTAACTTGATTTCCTTAAGTTAAAAAGCCTCCTGCCAGTATGAAAAGTTTCTCCTTATCTACTCAAAACCCCTCATAATCTTCAGCACATCTGTTAAATCTCTCCTTAACCTTCTCTGCTCTAAAAAGTATAAACTCAGTTTCTCTGGTCTCTTTGCAAAGATAGTTTCCAGTATAAGAGTGGACAGGAAAAACCTGGAAAAGGACTGGAAAATCTTACACAGAAAACATATTTGGAAGTGAGATTTTCAGTACACTAAAGAATGTTTAGACAGTGTTTAAAAGACATTTGGATAAGTTCATTAGGAAAGTTTGGAGGGATATGGGCCAAGCGCGGGCAAGTGGGACTAGTTTGGTTTGGGAACATAGTCAGCATGGACTGGTTGGACCAGTCCTCAGACCCAGAATTCTCAATGACTCCTCATATGATAAGCCCTTTATCCCCAGGATCATTCTTGTAAACTTCCTCTGGACCCCTTCCAACATCCTTCCTTAGATACAGGGCCCAAAACTGCTCACAGTGTTCTGAATGTGGTCTGACCAGAGCCTTATACAGCCTCTGCAGTACATCTCTGTTCATGTATTCTGGCCGTCTTGAAATGAATGCTAACATTGTATTTGCCTTCCTAACTGCCAACTAAACCTGCATGCTAACCGTAAGAGAATCCCGAACAATGACCCCCAAGTCCCTTTGTGGTTGAGATTTCCAAAGCCTTTCCCCATTTAGAAAATAATCTACACCTCTATTCTTCCTTCCAAAGTGCTTGCCCACATAGTATTCCTTCGGCCACTTTTTTGGCCATTTATCTACACATACAAGTCTTTCTGTAGCCTCCCTGCTACCTCAACACTACTGGACCCTCTACCTATCTTTGCTGCTAAGTTTGCAGATGACACAATGTCCTCAGTTCCTTTGCCCAGATGGATAATATATAACATGAATAGTTGTGAATACTGAGAGACCTGGATTGAGTGGATATGGAGAAGATGTTTCCTCTATGGAAAGTTGTTGTAAGTTCCGGGATTTAGATGCGTTAAAAGAAATAGGAAGGGTGGTAAACGAGGCGGGGGAGTGGCATTGCTAGTCAGGGCTAGTGTAGCAGCTACTGAAAGGCAGTTCAAGAATGATATGTCTACAGAGTCAGTTTGGGTTAAGGTCAGGAACAAAAAAGGAGCAGTCATTTTGTTAGGGGGTTTTTTGCAGACCCCCTAATAGTTGCAGAGAAGTGGAGGAGCGGATTGGGAGGTAGATACTAGAAAGGTGCAGAAGTCACAGGGTTGTAGTCATGGGTGACTTCAACTTTCCAAATATTGATTGGAAACTTTCACTGGTTAAGACGAAGAAGGATGCTTCTTTAAAGTTTAGGAAACAAGGTATGGAAAAGGCTCTAGAGGGATGCAAGTTAACCAGGAAGGAGCTGAAGAAAGGGCTTAGAAGAGCTCTAAGGGGGCATGAGAAAACCTTGGCAGATAGGATCAAGGTAAACTCCAAGGCTTTTTATACGTACGTGAGGAATAAGAGAATGACCAGAGAAAGGGTAGGGCCAGTCAAGGATTGTAAAGGGAATTTGTGCACGGAACCTAAAGAGATAGGAGAGGTCCTCAGTGAATACTTTTCTTCAGCATTCACAACTGAGAGGGACCTAGTTGTAGAGGAGGACAGTGTGAAACATGCTGGTAGACCAGAGGAGGTCGATGTTAGTAAGGAAGATGTACTAGAAATTTTGAGGAGCTTGAAGATATACAAGTCCCCTGGGCCTGATGGGATTTATCCAAGGATTCTATGGGAAGTGAGGGAAGAGCTCGCAGGGCCTTTGGCGATAATCTTTTCGTCCTCACTGTCCACGGGTATAGTGCCGGAAGATTGGAGAGTGGCAAATGTCATTCCCTTGTTCAAAAAAGGCAATAGGGATAACCCCGGAAATTACAGGCCAGTTAGTCTTACTTCAGTGATGGGCAAATTATTGGAAAGAGCTCTGAGAGACAGGATTTATGATCACTTGGAAAGGCACAGTTTGATTCGTGATGGTCAGAACGGATTTGTGAAGGGTAGATCATGACTCACAAACCTTATTGAATTATTTGAAGAGGTGACCAAACACGTGGATGAAGGTGGAACAGTGGATGTGGTATACATGGATTTAAGTAAGGCGTTTGATAAGGTTCCCCATGGTAGGCTCATGCAGAAAGTAAGGAGGCATGGGACAGGGGGAAATGTGGCAGATTGGATTCAGAATTGGCTGACCCTTAGAAGACAAAGGGTGGTAGTGGATGGAAAATATTCAACCTGGTGCTCAGTTAGGAGTGGTGTTTCACAAGCATCTGTCCTGGGTCCTCTTCTATTTGTGATTTTTGTAAACAATTTGGATGTAGGAGTGGAAGGGTGGATTAGTAAGTTCATGGATGATACAAAGGTGGGTCGAGTTGTGGATAGCGCGGAGGGCTGTTCTAGGTTACAAAGGGACATTGATAGGATGCAGAGTTGGGCTGAGAAGTGGCAGATGGAGTTTAACCCTGAAAAGTATGAGGTGATTCATTTTGGAAGGATAAATTTGAAAGCAGAATACAGGGTTAACAGAAAGATTCTTGGCAGTGTGGAGGAGCAGAGGGATCTTGGGGTTCATGTTCACAGTTCCCTGAAAGCTGCCACCAGGTGGACAGAGTTGTTAAGAAGGCATATGGTGTGTTAGCTTTCATTAATAGAGGGATTGAGTTCAAGAGCCATGAAGTTATGCTCCAGCTATACAAAACCCTGGTTTGGCCACATCTGGAGTATTGTGTCCAGTTCTGGTCGCCTCATTACAGAAAGATGTGGAAGCGTTGGAAAAGGTCCAGACGAGATTTTCCAGGATGTTGCCTGGAATGGAGGGAAGGTCTTACGAGGAAAGGTTGAGAGAGCTAGGGCTTTTCTCTTTAGAACGACGAAGGATGAGAGGTGACTTGATAGAGGTGTACAAAATGATCAGAGGTATGGATAGAGTGGACAGCCAGAGACTTTTTCCTAGGGTGGAAAAGGGGGCATAGTTTTAAAGTGAGTGGAGGTAGATATAGAGGAAACGTCAGAGGTACATTCTTTACTCAGAGAGTGGTCGGGCATGGAATGCATTGCCAGAGAGGGTAGTGGAGTCGGCCTCATTAGGGGCATTTAAGCGGCTATTAGATAGGCATATGGATGATAGTATATGGTAGGGGTGGAGGTTAGATCGACCTTAGGTTTAGGGTAAAAGTTCGGCACAACATCGTGGGCCGAAGGGCCTGTACTGTGCTGTACTGTTCTATGTTCTGTGTTCTAGTGAAAGAAACTAGGACCCAAGGCCAAAGTGTCAGATGAGGGAATGACCTTTTAAAACTGAGATGAGGAGGAATTCCTTCAGCCAGAGGATGGTTAACCTGTGGAACTCACCGCCACAGAAGGCTGCGGAGAACAAGTCACTGAGTATTTAGGACAGAGATGGACAAGTTCTTGATTAGTAAGGGAATCAAAAGTTATCAGGAGAATGGGATTGACAGACAGACCAGCCATGATCAAATAGTGGAGCAGATTCGATGAGAATGGCCCGATTCTGCTATCTTATGGTCTTACAGAAAGTGTTGAGTTCAAAATGTGGGACTCAATGCTGACTATTAGTGTAAGGTGTGAGACACCAGTCATATAGTAATGGTGATTTTCTAATGATTTACTCTGTTATGGTACATACAGAATAGAACAGGTAAGTCTAGAGGTTATTCCATGTCCCAGACACTCAAAATGGCTAAAAGTGGTGACAAGTAGCCAGCAAGGACACAAAAGGTGAAGCAACACAAACCTGTTGTAAAATCCTGCTGTGTAATGTGTTAATAAGTACTGTATATTAGCATCATTCAGACCTTTAGGTTGTAATTGACTGTTACAAGCACAGTTGTTCAATTGAATTGCTTTTCTTTGAGTGGCAAAATTGATGTTATTTATTGTGTAATAGCAGCATACACTCAGCATTTAGAGAAAAGTAGCTGTCAAATCACTGCAGCAGTGTTTAATGATGCTTGAAAATTCTATTCTTCCAGGTATGACACAATTACCAACCAGTGGGAAACAGTGTCTCCACTTCCCAAAGCTGTGCACTCTGCAGCTGCAACTGTATGTGGTGGCAAAATCTACGTGTTTGGTGGCGTGAATGAGGCAGGACGGGCAGCTGGAGTTTTACAATCCTATGTCCTTCAAACAAACACGTGGAGTTTCATTGAATCACCTATGATAGGTAAGGTAGAAATCACTGCTAAAGGGCCACTGCAAAGCTTCCCAAATATCGCGTGAATTAAGAGGTGGAAACATTCTAGCAAAAAAAAACGAGAATCTACATTTCCTTCAATAGACTTGCAGGTTTTGAGCAACTTCGTCTCTTGAATGACATGGCTGTGAAATTCTGTACGGATTCTCGCCATCGTTTAAAAACGTTAACATTACAACATTGTGGGGCTCAATGTTTTGGAATTTCAGTGCGTTGCATTTCTGCCGGAATTACAACTGATCAGTACAACCGACATGGAATTTCAAGGCCGTTTATCTTTCTATTAAAGCAGACCAGGAAACGGGTGAGGAGATGGTTTGTCAGTATGCTACTGGTTTGCATACTTCATTCATTCCTACTCTGCCCAGAGGCAAAGTTCCATGGTTAATTGTCAGTTGATGCTTCACCTTACTTTTATTTGATATAACACAAAGAAAAGATAAACAGGGAAGAATAAACGTGCCAATCTTTTGATTTAAAGCATTGTGAATAAGAGGAGATACTGGTTCTTGATCAGACACCTTGACTTTTACCATGATGTAAAATATTTCTATATCATATCAGGAGAGACATTCTCTAGAATCATAGAAACATAGAAGATAGGAGCAGGAGGAGGCCATTCGGCCCTTCGAGCCTGCTCACCATTCATCATGATCATGGCTGATTGTCTAACTCAATAGCCTAATCCTGCTTTCTCCCCGTAACTTTTGATCCCATTCACCCCTAGTGCTATATCTAGCCACTTCTTGAATACATTCAATGTTTTGACATCAACTCCTTCCTGTGGTAATGAATTCCCCAGGCTCACCGCTCTTTGGGTGAAGAAATGTCTCCTCATCTCCATCCTAAATGGTCGACCTCGAACCCTCACACTGAGAGTCCTGGTTCTGGACACACCCATCTTTGGGAACACCCTCCCTGCTGCTACCCTGTCCAGTGCTGTTAGAATTGTACAAGTCTGTGTGAAATCCCCACCTCATTCGTCTGAACTCCAGCAAAAACAATCCTAACCTAGTCAATTTCTCCAGAGTCTGTAGAATCCTGGAAGATGACCACCAATGCATCCACTATTTCTAGAGCTACTTCCTTAAGTACCACCGGATGGAGATTATCAGGCCCTGGGGATTTATCGGCCTTCAATCCCAACAATTTTCCCATCACTATTTCTCTACTAATATTGATCTCCCTCAGTTCTTCCCTCTCACTAAATCTTGCATCCTGCAACAATTCTGGCATCTGATTTGTGTCGTCTTTTGTGAAGACAGAACCAAAGTTTGTATTCAATTCCTCAAGCAATTGCTTTGTCCCCTATTATACATTCCTCCATTTCCATCTGTAGGGGACCTACATTTGCCTTTACCAATCTCTTTCTCTTCATGTACCTATAGGAACACTTCGTGTCAGTCTTCATGTTCCCTGCAAGCTTACTTTCATACTCTATTTTCCCTTCTTGATCAATCCCTTGGTCCTTCTTTGCTGAATTCTAAACTGCTCTCAATCCTCAGATGTATTATTTTTCTTGGCCAATCTGTATACTTCTTCCTTGGATCGGATACTATCTCTAATTTCCTTTGTAAGCCATGGATTGGCCCTCTTACCCATTTTACAGGAATAAACAGTTGTTGCAGTTCCCCCATGCGTTCCTTGAATGTTTACCAATGTCATCCCTTTACTCTCCCCAATCAATCAGGGCCACCTCACACCTCATATGTTCATAATTTCCTTTATTGAGATTCAGCACCCTAGTCTCTTAATCAACTACCTCACTTTCCATCTTGATAAAAAAAATCTATTCTGTTCTAGTTGTTCATCCCCAAGGGGTCTTGCACTGCTACAGTAGCATCAATTCCCTTCTCATTACACAGTATCCAGTCTAAGATGGCCTCTTCTCTTGTTGGTTCCTTCACGTATTGGTCAAGAAAACCATCTCATATGCACTCCACGAATTCCTCCTCTACAGCATTATGGCTAGTTTGATTTGCCCAATCTGTGTGCAGATTGAAGTCACCAATGATCACTGATATTCCCTCTAATCTCCTGTTTAATGCCATTCTTGACATCACCACTGCGGTTTGAATGTCTGTATATGACACCTAGTAAGTTTTTTGCCCCTTGGTATTTCTTAACTCTACCCATACAGACTCCACATTGTCAGAGCTAATATCCTTTCTCATTATTGTGTTAATTTCCTCTTTAACCAGCAATGCCACTCCACCACCTTTTCTTTTTTGCCTGTCCTTCCTAAATACTGAATACCCTGGGACATTCAGTTCCCACCCCTGGTCACCCTGCGATAGTAGTCCAACAGTATCATGTCTCCGTAATCCCAATTATATCGTACCCGTTTACATCTATCTGCGCGATTAGTTCGTCCACTTTATTGCAAATGCTCCACGCATTAGGGCACAAAGCCTTTAAGCATGTCTTTTTAACATTGTTTGTCTTGCTCTTATTTTTCTCAATAGCCCTGTTTGAATCTTTTTCTTGGTTTCTCTGCCTATCGCTTTTCTTATTCTCTTTTCTACCTTTTGTTTTTGTCCTTGCTCCCCCCTCCTCTAACTCAATACATAGGTTCCTATCCCCCTGGCATTTTAGTTTAAACCGTCTGCAACCGCTCTAGCAAACACTCCCCCTAGGACATCAGTCCCAGTCCTGCCCAGGTGTACCCCGTCCAATTTGTACTGGTCCCACCTCCCCCTGAACTGATCCCAATGCCCCAGGAATATGAAACCCTCCCCTGACACCATCTTTGCAGCCATGTATTCATCTGGTATATCCTGTCATTTCTCCTCTGACTAGCACGTGGTCCTGGTGGTAATCCTGAGATCACTACCTTTAAGGTAGGATTTCTTATCTTTCTTCCGAGCTGCCTGTATTCTGCTTTTAGGACCGCATCCATTTTTTTTTTTACTTTTGTTGTTTTACTGGCTGTTCACCCTCCCCCTCTGTAATGTGCTGTACCTGCTCCGAGATATCCTTGATCCTAGCACCAGGGAGGCAACATACCATCCTAGAGTCTCGCTTGCAGCCACAGAAACACCTGTCTATTCCCCTTACAATTGAGTCCTCTGTAACTATTGCACTGGCACACTTTTTACCTCATCCCAATGCAGCAGAACCAAACGTGGTGCAACAAGTTTGGCCGCTGCTGCTTTCCCCCAAGAGGTCATTCCGCTCAACAGTATCAAAAATGATATATCTGTTTTGCAGGGGAATGGCCACAGGAGATTCCTGAAAGCAGAGAATGGAACATATTCTTACATTTCAGAAATCATTGAAGTAAATTAAGGGCAGCGACTAGGTTTTATAATAAGTGGAAAGGAAGCAAGCCATGGTGTTACAAGAATGTTTTGCATGAACCCCAATGAGATTTAGCTGGCTAATTATTATCCCTTATCATCCTATTCCATCACAACTAGCATTTCAGCCTCATGGATGTCAGTTACCTGGCTGTATCAGCAGAAAACAGGGATAGAATTATACAAAAGAACTTCATTATTATTTAAATAATCCTTGATTATTACAGAAGTAACTTATTTACATTTTCTGAATGTTAATCAAGGTTAATTTATTGATTGTGTAAATTTGAAGGCAGCTTTAAAGATGTTTTTGATTCCCCTCTGATCAAGACCTGGTGTTGCTACACTATAAGAAGGAGGAAGGCAAAGAGGCAGAGTGAAGATTAAAGAATGAGTTATTTAGATCACAGTCATGTTCATCTCCAAGTTGCTATTCTCCACTCAGCACCTATCTTAATAGTGTACGTCTGAGTCCAGAGTCTGCAACAATAGAGGCGTGTGAATCTATGACTTTCCAACAATTTTCATCATTAGGAAGCAGAGTGATTAGAGCTGTATTATTAGTTCCAATAATGAATGAACGATTTATTGTGGCTTGTATTTTAAAGTGAGAAGTCCAATAAATAAATAAACCTCCAAGTACAAATACTGTTCCCTGAAACTGTACTAACAGGATAAAGATATGGGAACTGCTAGCAGTGTGATTTAATTGCAGGAAAAGATAAAAGATGAAGTTTGTTTGGATTTTTTTAAGCAAGCATATTACTTTTTGAGGTGTATATAATAATTTTGTTCCAAGTTTCTGTCCTTTGCTCATGGGTTAACTGTGAGCCACATTCTGCAGGCTGAGGACTCTTCTACGTCCCTTTTCACCATGCTGTCTCTGACTGAAAATGTTTCCCTTCAGGAACACCTTTTGGAAAATGGGGATAGATGGAATTAAACCACATATGAAACACACATTTGTGGCACTTTAAAGTCGGCTTAGTTTATTGTATAAACATTATAACACAGTGCAGTCTCTAAATTCTTAAGGATAAAATGTTTTGTTGTTGCAGGGTGAAATGAGTGTACTGATATTGTTCCTAAATCACTCAAATGTCCAAAAGTGAGCTGTTTCTTATTTGCAAGGATCCAAAATTAGATCCCTTAGTTTCATGTATAATTTATAACATATGATTAATTTGAATTAAAATTACACGTGTACAATCAAAATTATTAACCAAAATTAAGATAAATGAACTGGCCAGAACATATGTACTGAACATATCAGAGAATTAAATTAATGGTTAGCAGTTAATGATAAGTCTCACTCATTTTATGAGTGTACAAGTTTGGTCAGGAACTGGGATGTAAGTAGTCTGGCAAGGTGTAGTTGGGTTGTATGAGGTAAGTATTGAGTCATTTTGATAGTTCTTAGGAGTTACACTGTGCATTTGATGGTCTAACGTTTCGTGAATAACTATTTTGCTTAACTTCATATGAACTATCCAAAGTCTGAGAGTTCCAAGTGTCGCGGAATTTTTTTTAATTTCAAAAATAGTTTTTATTCATAAAAAAATCTTTATGCACGTAGTCACAAATGCAGTTCAGTTCTGTGCAGTAGTATATCAAGGAAACAAACAAACATTGGAGGTTGACTCTATCTGAACAAGCCAAAGGCATCTCTTACTCGA